AGAGCACACAAGAGCACCGGCGTCTCTAAGCAAAAGCACCTCCATCCGGCGGGGATTCACTTCCACGCAGAGCCTTGCGGCCTCCAGGCTCTCTGTGTCCCACTTGGCTCTCAGAGGCCCATCGGTCAACCTGCCGATGACGACATGTCGCCCTGAACCAAGGAATGGGGCTGCCATCCCCAGATGGTGAGACTGCTCTTCTGTGGGTCACCCATGGGGCACCTACCAGCTTCTCTTCCAGTCTTCTACCTGCCTCAATGAAGTTTTCCTCCAGTCTTCTCTGGTGCTGTAATTACAATGACCATCAGGCTTAACCTGCACAACCAGCAGCGGGCTAAAGACGGTGTTCCCCAGCTTCTTCCCTTTTGCACTGAGCCCAGAGCTCCTGATCTGCTCCTCCTTCCTCCACTGGTGAAGGCAGGACACGGTCCCAGTGGGTGGAGCTGCTGAAGAAGTTCTCCCCAACCCAAGACAAGCTGCTTCCTGGTGCAGAAGCTTTATTCTTATCATGCCCCTGGTCTGCGCCTCTCCAGGAGACAGTTCTCCTCTTGAAGATGGCCTCTCTTGAAGAGTCAGGGCAGCCCCGGAAGGTCCCATTCCGTTACGTCCTCCAGGAAGATCCAATGCCTGATCTTCCACTGGATCCCTTCGGCCACTCCAATCATCTCAGAAGACCACGCTGGTGACCATGACATCAGCAACTGCTTCCCCAGGGCTGAAGGCCCCGACAGACATTTTGTACGTTGCCCATGTGCCACCCAGGCCCCAATCTCCACAAGCATGAGAAACACTTTCCCCCTCTGCCCGAAGCTATGCCGGTCACGAATGACCGACGGGCTGCTCTCAGCAGAACGACGGCAGGAGGTCCAAAGGGCAACCAGGCTGCCCCCCACCCAAACCCTCTTCCACACTGACCACAACATCCGGGGATTTGTGACTGATGGTTCCAAAGTCTCAAGCCGTAACTGTTGTCATATAAAATCCCCCCCTCTGTACACAGAGTTTTTCTGAAGGAAGGACAGCCATCAAGCAGGGCTGGCATAGTGAATGCTGCTGGATGCAAGCAGTTACGCTTGATGACCTCTTAGGTCTTTTCTTTTCCAACTCCGAGTCCCAAGAACAACGGGTGGGCTTCAGGAAATGCACGATTCTGAGATGCTGAATTTTTTGATAGTGAATCTGTAAATCACCAGGCAGCTTGTGGCCACCATTCCTTATGAACTCATTGAATCCCTGGTTCTCGGCTTTAATTCTAAAATATTTTAGGCAGAAGCTGCACAAAACTGCAATTTCCTCTGCTGGGTGTGGAGATAACCCTGATGGACTGGATGAGTCACTAAGGAAGGACATAAGGCAACTCATGACAGAGAGAGAGAGAGAGAGAGAGAGAGAGAGAGAGAGAGAGAGAGAGAGAGAGAGAGAGAGACAGAGAGAGAGACAGAGACAGAGACAGAGACAGAGACAGAGACAGAGACAGACAGAGACTCAAAGAGGGCAGAAAGCCACGCTGGCTGGCTTTCAAGATTCCCCACAATAAAATTGTATTCCTGGAATCCGGGCAGTGCCTGTTTCCTCACCTGCCCCCCCCCCCAAGAACTGACACAGGGTGCCCTTCACTCTTAACAGTCTTCAGATCTGCAAAGCAACTCAAACGGGAATCAAGAGAGGTTGCAATGCTGCCAGGTGACGGGAAGCGGACAAGGGCAATGGTCACTCTCAAACCACCTCCCGAAGTCTAGGGGGCCGGACCTGAGGTCTTCTGGGAGAGGAGAAAGGTCTAAGAGCCCCAGCTTTTCATCCTTCAGATCTGTTCAGCCATAAAGTCCAAAGGAAGCACCTTGATGTTTGGACTTGCAAGCCAACGAGAGCTGCATTCCAGATCCGGCAGGGCAGGCAGCTCCAGAGGTCCTCTGGGTGAAGCAGTAGGGCCTGGAGGGACCCAGGACGTGTGTTGCCTTCTGTCGTGGCGCCTGCCTTGGGGAACAGCCTCCACTCTTATTACTGGCCTTCTGGAGCTGGCTTTTAGGATGGGAAGGAGCCCGGTCCAGGGAGGGTGGGCTGGTTAGATGTCATGGTGGCTTGTACTTGCCTCTTGTAAATTGTTATGGATTGCTGCCTTTTTATCTCTGCTGCCCAAGTCATCCCTATAAATAAGAGTTTTCCTATTCTGGTTCCCTTCTAGGGAACAAATTCCTACAATTCCCAGGCAGTATGGCAGCCGTGCAGGAATTCTGGCTTACGCCACTCTGAGAACCTCAGCTTAATCTTATTTTCCCAGGGCTCTCCAGAAAAACCGGATTGGGATTTCCAACCCTCCCAGCTAATGGAAGAGAAGGCTGGTGTCAGCTGATGGCAGAGGCCCTCCTGCAGGGTGGACAGTGGCCATTCCCAAGCCTGCACTCACAAAAGTGTGTTAATTAGTGCTTGATTTCAACACGGCCAGGAAACCTTCCACAGCTCATGCAGCCTTGCAACTACCCCCAGACCTTTGCACCAAGCTCAGCTTGCAGCCGTCCAGGCTGAGCAGCAGCTGGTGAGAGAAGGGGAAATTGCTCCATCCCGCTCGGAAGCAAGGCAGGCCCTGGCTCAACCAGGGGAAGGAGCCCCGGCTGTCAAACGGCCTTCTTCCACACCCGAAAGGAGCATGTGGCTTCTTTGAATTGAGATGGACGCATTCTGCTACAGGGACGTGTCTCCATCCGGATTCCAAAAGCTCTGAAGTTCGGGGGGGTCCTTGGTGCTGAGGACCCTTCATTTCAACTGAGCTACAGAAACTCTTCTTTATCCGTATTCTGAAGTTTGTTTCCAGCAAGTCTCCTCAGGTCCCGAAATAAAAGCGAAGAACGTTCCCCACGTTTGTTTCCACCTGGACCAAGCCTAAAGTCTTCCCTCTGTTTTGTGACTCCACTGCTGAAGCCCCCACTGGTGAGCACCACCAAGGAGGGCCTTTCCGTGCCCAGCACCTGCCATCCTTCCTCTTAGAGCTGAGCTGCCCCACCCGCTCAGCCCCTTTTTTTCATTTCAGTGTTCACGTCTGTGACCTGCGATGCCCAGAAGTCCACCAGATGAGATGCCACCAAACCCGGTTCTCTTGTAGTCTGTCCAACTTTCTTTGGAGGCTTCATGAGAAGCTGCAGGAACGGTTACTTCCAGCCCAGCACTCCTCTTTGGGAGTTAGCCCTGGGGCCAACCTAAATTTACCCCCTTAAAGTTATCTTATTATAGAAGAGAAACAACCCCGTCCTTCTTCCAGCGCATCTTCGGTTGCTTCTTAATTTCCAGCAGATTCATCTCACGATGTCTGAAAACGCGGGACCTGAAGGGAAGCCCCACTCAAGTCCACCCACAGGTCGCAGGAGAGGCTGCTTCCTACGGCTCCTGCAGGCACAGACCGTGCTGAAGGTGGTCATGGCCACCGAGAGATTCTGCCGGAAGAGGCACAGCTGGGTCCAGAGGCGGCTGGAGAACAAACAGTCAGCCTTATCTCAAGTGAACAGCCCCGAGTTCACACAATTGTGTGACATTTGGAACAATCGCCTGTGATGAAACCGGCCTTTTCCTGCACCAAAGCAGGGAGTAGAAGGAGCTTCTGGGCCAGGGGGCACCCGAGGAGATAGAGGAGGGGTGCCAGGGACAAGCCAGTGTGTCACCCCAACTGATGCACTGCACCCCGGGCAGGAAGAAAGCCCTGGCAGCGCCAACAGCAGCAGCAACCCAGCCACAGGTCAGCCCTGCCAGCAGGCCCACACATTGTCCCCTTCTGGGCAATAATGCAGGCCCTTTTCCACTCAACATGAAATATTCAAGGCAACAAATGACCAAGCAATTTAGCTATTCAAAAACACAGAACAAAAACACAACCTGGGCCAAAGTCAGCACATGACACACCCAGAGTGCAGCTGGTGGGCTCCCTGTTTATAGCGCAGGCCTTCAGCAAGGCGAGGGCAGTGCCGCTGGGGGTGGTCAGAAATGTAGGTCCTCCCAGCCAGTGCCCTCCATCGGGGCCTGGTCAACTCCCGACCCCTCCCCTGGAATCCAGCAGGGGAGAGGGCACCCCACAAGACGGCTCCCCCACACTGGCGCCCCAACCTGCAAAGCCCCCTCCCAAGAGGCCCCAACTGGACGCCTGCAGAAAGTAATGGAAACAGGACTTATGTGGCAGAAACAACTAGCCAAGCTGGGGGGGGGGCTTTTAGTATCAGCCGCTGAAAGTCACCTTCCCACACCAAGGTGGGCAATGTTGCCTGGGAATTATGGGAGTTGAAGTCCAGCCTGGAAGGGGAAAGTGAGGAGCCATCTGTGCAGTTTCACCAAATGGACCGGATGGGAAGGAAGCCTCTCACCCCCCTCCCTGCCAAGGTTGCAGGAGCATCCGTCTTCCTGGGAGACCCTGCAATGCCCCCCCAGAGGCTGGCGGAGTGGGGAGACCAGGCAGGGATGCAGCGGCCCTGGCCCCTCCCAGAGGCACCCCAGTTTCTAACCCCCCCCCGAAGCCTGCCAGGAACCAGCCAGCAGGGCTCCTCCGCAGGGCATCAACTGCCACGGGGCAGGCGGGGGGGGGGGCTCGCTGCAGCCTTCCAGATAGGACCAAACAACCTGCAAGTTTTGTCCCAGATGTGCCCAACATCTGGGGAAACGGTCTTGGGGTCAAGGTTCCCCTGGTGCGGGGGAGGGGTGGGAGGGCCTGGCCTGCCTTCTTCCAGCCCAACTGCACCTCCGCCCCCCCCCAAGGTCCGGACCAGAAATCCAGGCGCCCCAGCAGTCCCCCCTCCCAGGGGTCATGCCAGGCTTCCTCTCATGGCCCCCCCTCCGCACAAAATGGACCGGACCTCGAAATGCCTCCCCCGCCTGGACGGGGCCAAGCGGGGAATCCAGGGGAGGCCCCGCCCGGTGTTGCAAACCCCACCGGCCCCCTCCCCCGCCCCGGGAGTGACTCGGCGTTTCGGGAGCTGCGGGGGAGCCGCGCTCTGCTCGCGCCCAGGAGCCCGCGCGCCACTCACCGGTCCGGGTGGGCGCGGCCGTCTTGCAGCAGCGCGGCCAGCGGGAGGGCGGCGCGGCCCAGGAAGCGGTCGGGGCCCACCAGCGCGCGCTGCCAGACCACCAGCTGCAGCAGCTGCGGGTCCGGGCCGGGCGGCGGGGCCGGGCGCGGGTCGGGCGGCGGCAGCTCCAGCGCGCACTCCTCGGCCCAGCGCGGGCAGCCGCTCCGGTGCGCGGCCACGGCGGTGCGGTGCTTCTGCCGGCCCAGCTGCAGCGCCACGAAGGCGGCGTCGCCCGGGCCCCCCTTGGCCCGCAGCCCCCGCGCCTGCACCACCGCCACCTGCACGTGGCTCGGCAGCCAGGCCGGCGGCGGCGACTCCTCGCCCGCCCGCGGCAGGCTCATCCCGGCGGAGGGGGGCGCAGCCGGCTTCTGCGGCAAAGTTTCTCCGGCTCCCGCGGGCGGCGGCGACGGGCGGGCGGGCGGCGGTGCTGCAGCTGCAGTCGGGTGGCCCCGCCCAACGCCCCCCCCGCGCCAGGAGGGCCCCGCCCTTGCGGGCTGGCTCCGCCCCTCGTCCGGCCGAGGGGGGCGTCCCGCGCAGAGCTCCCCCGGCGGGCGGGGCCTCCGGGCCGCTTGGCGCCCCCCCCCAAACTTTGCGGGGGGACGGCAGGAGCTCCGGCGAGCGGCGGCGGCTGGGCTCAAGGGCACCGGGGGGGGGGCGATGGGCAGAGCAGCGCGTGGCTCGCGGGCTACTCGGCTCGAGTCCGGGCAGAGCCGCCTCGCGCACTTCGGGCAGCCTCGCGCGCCTCCTCCGCGCCCCGGGCCTCTGCAGGGAGCGGCCCTCCTTCGCCCGTCCCCCGGCCCCAGCGGGCTTCTGGCCGCCCGGGTGGGGGGGGGAAGAGCGGCGTTCCCGCGCACCGGCGGGCTGCACTTGGGCCAGGGGCTCCGCCGGGAGCTCTGCCAGCTGCGGAGCAGCCCGCCGCAGCCCTGGTTAACCTCGGTGCAGATGCAGAGTTCCCCCCCCCCGGGATCCCCCCCGGCCCTCCGGCAGCTGCCCACCTGGCAGGGGCTGCGTGATGTGAGTGCAAGAGGGCCGGGGGGAGGCTCGCTCCTCCAGAACGGGGGGGGGTCTGGAGCGCGAGCATGCGCAGAGCAGAGCACGTGCAGCGCAGGGGAAGGAGGCGCTGTTGTGGGTCAGGGAGCCTGGAAAGGCCGAGTATGTTTTCAAGCGGGAAAGTTTAATTTTATAGGCCCCTAGACTCCCAAGAGTCTCTGCTTAGCTTAGAACTAAAATCCAGCTTACTAAAAGAAAAACACAAGAGACCCGAAAATCAAAGTGCAAAAAGTCAGATCAAACCCCCAAAGTCACTGACCCCTCCCACATGGCCTGGGGGACCAGCAGGTCTTCCAGCAGGGGAAAATGTCCACTTAAATCAGTGAGATCCTAGTTGACAGCCCTCCAGTGGCTGGCAAGGCTAGAATAATCAGCTCTGTTTGTAAAGGTATGTGGGAATGGGGAACAGGAGGAAGAGCTGCAGACCAGCCTGAGGTTTAGTCAGAGGCAGCTGAGCCCCCAGAAGGACTGGCAAAGGTCTCAGAAGGGACCCTCCCTAGTTTCCTGGACCGTAAAGGTGAGGGGGGGAAGCTATGTACCCTCAGACCTGCAAGATTCTATTAACATAACTTCACAATAAAGATAACACTAATATTCCTGAGTGTGCTTTGTATTTGGACTACCTTGCAAGGCTGGCAGAGTTGCGCTGCAAAACTTTCTTTGCTATTAGTCTTGGCTGCCATCTAGTGGTCCTCTAGATTTGTGCAAGCCCAGGGGCGGCTGCAACCAGCCTTTGCTGGGAAAGGAAGGTTCAGGCTGCAACCCAGCGAAGGGAGGAGCCATGGTGGGCCTCCAATACAATTCTGCTACTTAGTGCCCAGCCAGACGTCCATTGCACAGGCTTTAGCCCTGGATCACAGCACAGTGACGGAGTTGAGAGGGTAGAGAGAAGTTGTGGCAGGCCAAGGCTGGGCGTGGGGGAGGAGGTAGAAGCCATAGTACGGAGGAGCACCCTCTCATGGACCAGAAGCTCCAGCAAACTGTCCTAATTTACTGCAGATCTGCTCTAAGGAGCCAATATTTCTCCACCGTGGCAACTTAAAAGGTGTGTGGACTTCAACTCCCAGAATTCCTTGGGGTGAGCCTTCGGGAGACTGGGACAGGAGAGGACACCTCTCAGGAGCTTTGGATCGCATGGCCTCAAACGCCGGAGAGGTCAGGAGATTTGGGCAGTTCAAATGAGTATAAAGATTGTGGCAAGCTGAAGCTTTCTTCAAGAATCTGACCGACTGGCCATTAAAAGAAACAAACAGGAGATCAGAGAGGCATTCAAGGCTGGCAAGACCTGGATCTGCTGCAGGTGTGGTCATCTCCCACACGTGGTGTCCTTTGGGACACTCTCCAAGCCATCAGAGGGGAGTCACTGGTCTTCTGTCTTTTCTGAGGGGTCAGTTCCAACGGACGGCTGTGGGGGGAAAGAGATGCCCCAGAGAAATGATGCCGTGAGACGCTTTGTGGGTCTCAGTGAAGATGGGCCCCCTGGAGGCAGTGGGTCAGCTGGTGCTTTTATGGGCATCGCAGGGCAGGGCGCCCCTCCGGCCCACAGGCAACAAATTGGTTCACCCCCCACTTGGTGCCCACCGCGGCAGTCTGCAAAGGGGCTGAAGGGCTGCCGAAGTTTAACCATGAAGTTGTCCCTCAGCCACTGGGCTGTCGCTGGGGTGGAAGGACACAGCACACCTTGTGCCTTTACACAATTTCAGGATGCAGTGGACACTTCTTTTTATATATATATAATATTTTATTGATTTTCTCATTTTACAATTGAATATTTAAACAGCAATGTGATGACTGGGTTAATCAATAGTTCAATAGTGTACATAATACTTTAGCATAAATCTCATGTTACAACATCAAATATTTCCTCTCCTTTTCCATTAATATCTATTATCTCATATTGGGCTAGTATAATTCTTATTGCTATCAACTAAATAAAAACATCTTTGTTACCATTATCAATAGATTTTAGCTTATACATATCTTAATTGCATTTGCAGTGGACGCTCGTGTCTTTTGCCTGATCCTAAAGCAGATCCCTCGGGATCCTGCTCTGAGCCTGAACTGGGCTGAATGGGCTCTTGTCCTCTGCCAACCCCAGAAGTCCAGTTTGAGGAGAAGGGAGCCTGGGCCACCTCTGAGCCACGTGTGAGAAGGGGCCCCTGTCTGCCCCCCTCTGGACCCCGAGGAAGACTCAGAGACGCTTCTGCTCTGTCCGGCTGGGAGCTGCCTCAGTTCCCCCAATGAGGCTCTGGCTTCTCCAGCAAGGAGCGCCAAGGCCCCCTAGTGGCAGATCGTGGGAAGGGAGGGACCTCGCCCTTCCACTCCAAGCTGCTGTGTGTGTGTCTGGGGTGGGGGAGCACATCCCCAGAGGAGGGGAAAGTAGGGCGGCTTAACTGCAGCCCCCCCCCCGCAGCTGAGCCCAGAGCGCAGAAGACCTGGAGCCCCCTCACTCTTGCCATAATAAGGGCAACTGTTCAGTGGCTCTTCCCTGCCTTCAGAGTCCTTCTGCTCAGCCTGACCATGGCCACTTGAGATGGGAAGGGTCTGCAAGCCCAAGAGAGACCCCCTGGCCACCCCCCTACACACACTCAGCTGCAAGGGTCTCAGGGAGAGAAGAGGGAAGGACGGAGGGGGCACAGAGGCACTTCCAGCCCTTGTTGACTCTTGGGTTGAAAATAAGGCCCCCTCTGCCTCTTCAGGGCTTGACTGCTGAATGCAGAGGCTCCATTCCAGCCAAGAACTACTAAAGTGTAACAAGCAGTAATTGCAAATTAAGCAGCTATTAATCTGCATTCTTCTTTGGAGGGGGGAGCGATGTATTTTAAATGGTTCAAATATTGTTCTATTTTTAGAGGTCATTTTGGTTCCTGGTCTCAGAGCCAGACTCCCGTGCTCCACTCAGCCTCTAGTGGCAAAGAACCCGGGGGGGGGTGTTCCATGAGCCACGATGTCCCCCCCCCATTTCCAGAGTCTTTTCTCAGAACACTAGACTGCTAAAGCCACTTGGATCCTGCTCAGACCTCATCTGCTGGGGCAAAAACCTCCTGGCCACCCCCACTGGGGGCTCCATGACAAGGGACAATTGGGGAGGGAGGGAGATTGCAACAACACCCGTTGAGGCAGTGGGGCCCCCCCCAGCAGCTGCAGGGGTCAGTCAGGAGTTACTGCAGGTGTGAAACCTTGCAACGCCAACCCACGAGAGACCCTGTTCCTTGGTGGGGCCATAGGGTACTTTCCCCACAGGGCGCTTTCGAGAAAGACTCCCAAAGGTTTCCCCACTCTGCCAAAACCCCGAGAGAGGGCAGAAGTGGGGAGCCCTCTCAGCTCTGGCCCCCTGGCCACAAACCTTCCGAAGGGAACTTGCAGGTGTGGGCGGCAGGAAGGAGACGAAGCCCTGGGCCCACCTGGACCGGAAGAGCCGGGATGGGCCATTCCTTCAGCCCCCTGGCCCTGCCTGGCCTGCCCCTCCTCCTTTGCAGGGCCTGCCAGGGGGTCTGGTGGGCAGGCTGAAGCCCCTGAGCCACCCAAGAGAAGGCACAGACCCAAGATGCCCCCCCCAGGGTTCCTCCTGCAGTACCAGCCTATCTTGGCCCAGAGACCCTGCATGCCCCCCCCTCCTTTCTAGGTAGGTACCCCATGGTTGGGGGCATTGCTGACACGTGTTCCAGGGGTCTCCACTCCATTTCTGAGCCACCGTCCTGGATACGTCCGAGTGAGGAGGGGTCACCCATTGGCAGAGCCTGAGAAAGAGGCCCGATAAGGACGATGAATAGCCCCCCCCCATGGGGAAACCTTCAAGGGGGCTCAGTCCTGGGGGGCAGCCCAGGTGACAAGGTCACTGAGAAACCAACCTTAGTCATCCCACCATGCCTCCCCCCCTGCTCAGTGGACCCTCTCTGGCTGATTTGGCCAGGGGCTTTCTGCCCCCCACCCCCTTATCTGGGGATCTCTGCTCCATGGAAAATGGTGCCGGGTCTGATGGGAGGCAGATAAGGCAGGCTCCTTTCCTCGCTCGGCCCCAGCAGCCTGCGCTATCTGCCCCATCTCTGCCACCACGCAGCCGGGGCTCATTTTGGCTTAATGTTCCCTGCTGCCTTTTCCTGCGCCCGCCAGGCACAGGGCAGCGGTCGTTCCACTCGGGAGCCCACCGTTAGCTACAAGGGGGGGGGAGAGGAAGAGGTTTCTTGCTGTGCCGGCTACCCCCCCCCCCATTCCCTGCCCCAGCGACACAGAAGGCAGAGTCCTCCCACCAGACAGAACCAGCTCTCCTACTGCAGGGTTCCCCTCCCCCAGTAAGATCAGTAGGCCCCCTGAGAGGCTGCTGCTGCCCCCTCTTGGCCTACTTCTGCAAAAGGGCTTCCCTGCCAGTTGCTGGACTGGGGGGGGGGCTTCCAGGGACTCCTGCAGC